AAAGCAATGGAAAGAATTAACTAAACATCTGCAGAAGCTAAACAATTCTGTTGAAGAAAGTGTAATAATTGAGGACTGGGTTGATTTGGATGGAGATGCTGAAGTTATTGTGGCTGGTTATACAAAAGTTGTGGCAGATGTCTACCAGCAACTTTCTGATTTTGTTGAAAAAAACACCCACATGCACACTGTAATTCCTGCCAAGTCAGTGGCTATGGTGCAGTTTATAGAGGAGGAAAAGCAGAAGGTTTGGTGTGATTTGAACAAGAAGGGGCTGAGAATTAATTTTGGACTCCTGCCAAATCAGAAGAACATTGTCTTAAGTGGACCCAAAGTAGTGGTGACAGAGGCAGCAGTAAAGGTAAAACAAATGCTGTCTTCACTGTACTCTGTGAATGTGGCGTTTGATAAACCTGGAGTGAAAGACTTTTTCAAAAACCACGAACATCACTATGTTAACCTAGTAAAAGTGGAATTCAGCTGTTTGATCAGATTGCAAAGAGATGATGAGCAAAATGCGGAAAATGTTCAAACCAAGGTAAACTTAAAAAACGGTGTGGTGATAGAGGTCTGTATGGGAGATCTGACCAGTTATCAAGCTGATGTTGTAGTCAATGCATCAAATGAAACACTGAAGCACATTGGTGGCCTTGCCAATGCTTTGCTAAAAGCGGCTGGCCCACAGTTACAAGATGAATGTGATGTTCTGATACAGAAATGTGGCGCTCTGAAGCCCGGCTGTGCAGTAATCACAGGAGCTTGGAACTTGCCTTGCAAACAGGTGATTCATGTTGTTGGGCCAAGGTGGACCAGTGCCAACAAAGAAAACTGTATACAACTATTAAAGAAAGCTGTAAGGGAAAGCTTAAAACTGGCAGAAAAATTCAAACATTGCTCCATCGCTATGCCTGCCATAAGCTCTGGGATTTTTGGATTCCCAATAAAAGAGTGCACTCATTTCATTTTAACAGCCATTCAGGAAACCTTAGAAGAATTTTCTGAGAATGGCAGCTTGAAACAGATTTTCCTGGTAGATATGGCCCCTCAAACAATTCAGGCATTTTCTGATGCTTTACACAAAGTGTTTAAAAGTGGATTCCAGCCCACACCGCTGTCTTCTCCATCAGTCGGTCAACTTTTGGAGATTAAAGATCTTGTGGGGATTTCTGATGAAGGACTGAAACTGATTGTAGAAGAAAAAGGCATCGAAGATGCTACGGTAAGCATTTATATTAGTAGAGAACCTTAAATTATCTTCAGTGCAGCTAGTACATATTTTATTTAATTTGAACCATTTATTATGCCTCTAAAATGTTGATATTTCACATTGAAGGAGAATTCCAAAACAAAATTG